CGCTATGAGTCGGGTTTGACTCGATGGCACATAACAACAACAACAACAACATATAACCAAAAAAAACAAACTCACTGCCATCAAGTCGAATCCGACTCATAGCAACCCCTCCTTGGGTTCTTGAGGTAGTATGACATTATCTCTACAGAAGTAGAGTGCCCAGTCTTCCTTCTGAGGAGTGGCTAGTGGGTTTGAACCACTAACCTTCTGGTTAGTTGTCAAATGCCTTAGGCACTATGCTACTAGAGCTCATATATATAGACAGACAGATAGATAGATATGACTGAAATTTAAAAGATCTGATGAGCTTAACCTAAAATTAAAAATTTAATAATAATTATAGCTTTATATCTACAATTAATATACTTACCACTGAGTTTTCCATCCCTGGATCTTCTTTGTTTCTTTACTTGTGTTTGGGTTTTCGACACTGAATCTTGCTTCTCAGGCATAATATTTTCATATGTTTCTTCATCCTGAGCTACATAAAGATATGCATTTAATCACTAAATAGAAAAACATATTTCCAGTGAAATTTATAGATTTCATATAAAGTTCATGGTAGCTGTATATCTTATTTTTATTAAGCTACAAGTAAATTGTTACATGCTACATCTGATGTAAAAATTTTGAGAAGAATTTTAAAGAATACGTGTTCATGCTGTCACATTATTTCATAACTACTCATAAGCATCAAATATATGAAATGAAATATATGAAGTAACTGTCCTCATTGCTCATTTTAAGGAAGCCAAAGTTCTCTGTGAAATTAGTTCTCATTCAATAGCTCTGTGTCACATGTAGAAAAAGCATTGGGTGCCTGGAGATTCACCACTGATTATTACAAGCACCCAATGCTGAGGTGTCACCATGTTCCAAAACTGTACTGGACATTATTACATTGTCACATAGGCTATTGTCCAAGCTGAGGGAACTTGGTATGCAGCAATCAACATCACAAATTTTTTATTCAACATCTCTGTCCACTCAGATGCTCAGGGTAATTTAGGCCTTATATTGAACAAGATATATTGCAATATACTTTTAAGGTTCTTACACAAGAGTAATATAATTTCTCCAAATTTCTGTGACCTAGAAATAATCTCACTTCTAGAAGGAGCACTTGCCTTCCAATATATGCCTGACAATCTCAAGTAGGGCTCAAAGATGGGCACCATCCAGAAAGAAGTCTATACCCTGAAACCCACATATAGTAATATAGTGAGGCCACTAATACAGACAAGGTACAATTAAATCAACAAGGTCACAAATGGATTCTTGATGGAAATCTGGGAAGATACATATCTCAATCCAGAGGAAAAGATTACTGAGCTTTTAGCCCTTTCTGCTCAACAATTATAAAAGAGGCCCATTGATTGGTGGAATTATTTGCTACTGGCACTCTCACATATCCCATGTTAGGATCCTGATGGTAACCATCTATTGGGTTACTATATAGGCCACTCTCTTTAAGTGGGGATCCAATTAACAGGATGCTTTCATTTTCCTCTGGCAGGGTTCCCTGGCTACTCTTTCTTTAGGTCCCACAGATTCATGTACAATGTGTGAATTCATCAACTGGAGTCTATGTAGAAGGTCAACATCATAGGACAGAGGCATTGGAGTATTGAATCCATAATTTTGTGGAGTCAACTAAAATGTATACATTCTATGAGACAATTATTAGTCTGTACTGGTCCTTGATGAATAGTGAGTGTGTGACCCATGACCAGGAAATAGACTTACCATCAGAAATTCCATCCAAAAGTTATCAGCACTTTTTCTTTTGTTTGCTAGTTATCTCAGCTTATTCACACTTTTAGTCAAAGTGTAAAATTT